TATCAGCACAATAACACACTCAGCAAAATATCGTCTAATTATCGTTATCGATAAAATCCCATAAAATATCGAGATACAATTTTTTGTCAATATCGCACACCCCTAACTGCGATAGGCTAACCGAGACTTGTCATTTGCACTTATATATTGTTGCTCATTTGTTCGTTTTGACTGCTTTTATTGTCCTCATTTGTAAGTCACTTTGGATAAAAGCGTCTGCTGCTAAAAATGACTAAATGTAAATATATATATATATAGAAGTGGTGGTGGGCCGCCTGGACCAAAAAATGCCAGGGCCGATTTTTTGTCCCAGTCCAGCCCTGGTGGGAGCGAGAGCGGGAGAAAGAGAGTGCTTTCCGTACATAATAAAATGTAACTTTGTGGCAAAAACATGGAAATAATTTGTCATTTTTATCCTGTTGTTTGCTATATTTATTTGCTTGGCCAATTTCATTGTGGGTTTTGGTTCTTTTACTGTTTTAGGCTGTAAGGACCATTGAAATAACTGAAATAATTTGGCGAAGTATGGACATGTAATGTGGTCAAGACCTGCCTGGAACTACGTTCGCTGAGAACGTTCGTCAACCAATCAGATTCAAGCATTCTACAGCCCCGTGGTCATTTGTAAATGTTATGGGTCTGGCTTCCGGTTTCATCCGCTTCCAGCTATTTTTAGCTGTACAAAACAGCTCGTTTTGCTGCTTGATATTGCAAATTGGTGCGTCTTACCATATTATTTTAATGTATTATCTTAATTATGAACACTCTGGTTTGTAGTGCAAACAGTTTTACCATTTATTGCATGTTGTTATTCTGATAATAATAAGAATGATTATAAATAATTAGAAATAAACTGTAGTAATGGCTGCTGAAAATCCAGCTTTGCATCACAGGAATAAATTACATTTTAAATGGACTCAACTAGAAAACAATTCTTTTAACAATAGTACCATTTTACTGTATTTTTGATCAAATAAATGCAACCAAGGTGAGCATAAGAGACTTCTCTCAAAAACAATAAAACAATCTTAATTATTCCAAATATACACACACACACACATATTAATACGGCTTATCTTTTGCCTTAAAGGTTAAAAATCACAGCCTCAAGCTCCCAGTCTGCCAATCAAATGGGGGATATTCTGACTTTGGTGGAGCCGGTGGTTGTCATCAATAAACTGGGGACGTCCTTCTTTGAGATGGCCCTCACACAGACTGTGTACAACCAGTCACTGAAGGCAACAGCAGGAGACAGCGATCGGGCACAGGCGTTATCCTCACGCTTTCTTCTTATTCAGAGTGTGTTGTCTTCTGTGGCGGCCATGTTGTCCATTATACCACTGAGCCGTATGGCAGACCGTTATGGACCTAAAGTCTTCCTGGTGGCCTCTCAAATGGGTTCGGTTTTGGGCATGTTCATGCTTGTCATCTTCATGTACTGTGAGGTTCCTCTGGAGTTTCTGTACTTGGGTTCTTTGCTGCATGGTTTGAGCGGAGGCGGGCCAATGTTTTGGGCCGGGGTGGCTGCTCTGGCATCTCTCAGCTCAGAGCAGGGCAAACGCACTCTTAAACTCAACATCGTGGACTTCTGTTTTGGGATCGCAGGGGTCGTGGGAGGTCTTCTGTCTGGATATCTGTACCAGATGGGACCATCAATTCTCCTCCTGACAGCAATTCTGGTCAGCATTGTGGCATTACTCTACTCTGTGTTTGCCCTCACTGACTCGAGACGTTCCCTGTCCGAGAGTGAGCCGTTGCTGTCTGAATCTGAAAGTGGGAAAATGATGGATCGAGTCTCTATAGGCATGCTGATGACAACCATGATGTTGTTCATGCTAGGCATGGTCGGGGCGGAAAATGTGCTCCAGCTCTATGTGCTAAAGCCCCCTCTGAGCTGGGACTCAGTTTGGGCCGGATATGGCAGGGCCGCCACCAGTGCCATGTATCTCAGTAGCTTCTTCGGGGTCCTGAGTCTGTTCAGTGTGTTGGGAGACACAGCCCTCACTCTGCTGGGTATTGTGTCCAACTGTACTGGGATGGCAATCATGGCATTCGCTATAGAAAGCTGGGTCTACTTCCTGGGTGAGTTTGGTGTTGCCGTGGACTTGGCAGCACTGATCATTATTGCACTTTCACATAAGCACAACTCAAGAGAACGTCAACTTGCATGTTTTTTTCCGCAGATTTAGTAACAGCAAACAGCGCAAACAACTGCATGGAATAAAACATACTGGCTGACTGTATTACACTTTTATTTGAGCAGCATATCTCAACAGAGATCGCTGAATTCCAACATACAGTGGGTACGGAAAGTATTCAGACCCCCTTCAATTTTTCTCTGTCAATATGGGGTGCTTTGTGTACATTAATGAGGAAAAAAATTAACTTAAATGATTTTAGCAAATGGCTGCAATATAACAAAGAGTGAAAAATTGAAGGGGGTCTGAATACTTTCCGTACCCACTGTACATGTTTGCTGGTGATTTCAGCTCATCGGCACTTTTTCTGTAATGTAGACATAGTGTATGTGCATGGCTGCCAGGTTATATGAAATGTTTTCACGATTAGAATGAACTGTTGAGTTTCCATCATTGATTCACATGTTCATCAATTTACCTCTTGTGAAGTTGCACGTTTTGGAATAAACAAATTCAAAATGAAGTCATTTTAAATTCAAACCGTTGTATCTGGCAAAAAAAAAAGAGTTCTCTATCCATACTATTGCTTCATCCAGTGAAAGGTTTTTGTATTTTTCTGCATGTGTTGTTTTAAACAGCTAGAGGAATCATGATGTTTGCCTGCGTTCCCATGCCAACACTTCGAGCCATGCTGTCCAAGAATCTGCATCCTCAGCAATATGGTAAAGTTACAACCGCATTGAAACAAAAACTTAAAATGTGCTTCATCAGAGTACAAGCCATATAGTTGAGGTCATACTGCCTGTTATATGATACTTCATGAGAGTCCTCTGCTGTGTCTCTTGGCAGGGCGAGTTTTTGGGCTGCTCCAGCTGGTTCTGGCTGTGACTGATCTCTTGTCTAATGCCTTTTTCACCTCGATTTACCCACTAACTCTCGGCTGGTTCAGTGGCCTCTGCTTCCTCCTCTCCTGTGCCATTAGTTACATCAGTGCCGTCCCGATCATGTACGTAAATCTGATGTTAAAAAAATAACAGCAAATGTTCTTTTGGTGGTTTCGTCTCAGACAGTTTACAGCTGCTAGTTTTGTTTTTCAGTTATCGAAGTGGCAGAGACTTGAGACTTGGATCCATTTGTGATGATGAACACTTACATTGAAATGTGTCTGTTCTTATTTTGATTCAGTATGGAGCTGCAAAAGCATTGCATTCCCTGCATTGCTCGCAAAACCTTTCCGTTCTCTCTCAAAAGTGTTGCATTCCCAGAGGAAATGTTTAAGCTTTTGCATTTGCACGCAAAACTTTTGCAAGAGAATCTGAAACTCGGGCAAAAGAACACAACATTGTTGCAAGCGAAAGCAAAGTTTCTCAAGGTAACGCAAAGATTTGCAAGCAAATGCAAAAGCATGGAAATGTTTTCCTCCTATGACTAATGTCCCTTTAAGGACTGTATATTTCTATCAGCTATATTCACATAACATTATATCTATTGTCTGATTTCCACTAACTAATGCATAAAATAAAATTTGATTGCAATAATACAAAGTGCAATACGTAATAATATAACATCAAAGAATTGAAGAACTAATGAAAGTATGATATAAATGTCTGTCCAGCTTTCTTGCAGGAGACATATTTTGGTAAAATATGTCTTGTTTATGGTGGAAATAGCTTTAGGTCTTAATATAAAATATTATTAGCATTTTAGGACTGGACACATGAAGTGTCTATCTTGTCAAATGTTTTAGCAGCTCTGCATATGGTTTCTACTGTTACAGTGAATAGTCTGTGCTTCTTGTATGTGTTATTCTCAATAAACCTACTTTAAAGAGCTTATTTTCCATTGGTTATCTGCTCAGTCATGCTATTATTCTCTAGTGGGCTCGTTTTTGTAGCAGCATGGGCAAGAGGGGTTCTGCAGTTCACTTTTTAAGTCTTTTTTTACATTTCAGTTCAGAGTAGGGATACTTTTTTCAGTTTCTATAAGGATTCATCGTTATTTGAGTTTGTGTCTTCCAGAGATCCAGAAAGCAACAGATCTTACTGCTTATTGTTTACTTTATTCAAAATGCAGAATTAGTCTGATATTATTGCTTCTGAAAGAGGAAAACATAACATTTAGTAAAAGACATGCATGTTGGTATGTTTTACCATCAGGGTGTTTAATGTGTAATGTCCAACAGCTGCCACATGGTGTCATCTAATCGTCAATACACGGCCTACTATGGCAAGCGGATTTGCAATAAAAAAAATGGTTTGACTAATGTTTTAGATCAGTGGTTCTCAATTCCAGGCTTCACGTACCACCGCTTTGCATATTTTGCATGTCTCTCTTTTTTAACACACCTGATTCAGATAACCAGTTTGTTAGAAGAGAACTGTGTTCTGATTGACAGGGTCCCTACACAGTGTTTATTGCTCCCTACTCCATGAGCATGGGAAATCCGTTGAAGTTTACTTCACTTCGGAACATTCATTCACGGATTTGCGCTACGCCATGGCCTGCAGCATCTTCATACAGACGAAACTAACTAGAGAAGTGTAAAGTGCGTCATAATATACCTCTGTAAATAAATGCAATTTAAATTCACGTCTCGCACACTTTAATGCCCTTTGATTGGAACATATATGCTCCCTTTGAACTGGAATCATGACAGAATATTCTGTGACGTCCACTTCACAGGGCACTTACAGTCGAATAGAACAAACGTCTGAAGTCATAAGAGATACATACAAAATGTGCAGAGCGGTGGTACGTAAGGACTGGAATTGAGAACCACTGTTTTAGATAATTACAATTGTATTTTAGTGAGTCATGAATATAATTTGAATAGTCAGAATGATCATTTAATATATCTGCAATTCTAATTTAATGAAACAATCTAATCTTTGTTTGTTTCTGAAGGACAAACAAAGTCCTGTTCAGTTTTATTTTCAGCCGTTTCAGTATAATGTCACAATGGGGAAAAAGAAAATCAAAATTTCCATTTCATGATGACTTTAAATGAGATGAGACTAGAAAGAATTCCAATTCTAAATATCTCTAGACAAGTTCTGACTATAGTAAAGAATCTGATTCAAGAAATCTACAACTTTATTTTGATTAGTCATATGTTACTTTTGGATACATAAAAATTATTTTTAACATCTTTAATGATGAGGAATTAATGAGATCTTAAATTTAAAATATATCAAATATAAACATATATAAGAGACATCTCAAATTTTATGTTTTACTAGTGAGAATTCAATTAGAGATACAAAGTACAACTTATAGTTGACTTTAGTTACAATTTCTAATCGTCAAAACTCATTTATAGACATCGGATAATATTATTTATACTGTGTATTATGACAAGTCAATGAGTCAAAATTGCAGAACAGATATCTGGAATTTTACTAAAGTTAAATTAGTACTACTGGAGCCAAGGGCATTAAATGCTAAAGCGGCTTGCCATATGCGTACTGCCTACGTATTTCCTCTAAAAGTTCAGTGTCTATGCGAGCTTCCGGTAGAGTATTCACCGATAGGAAACAGTGTGGTAGTGGTTAACTCTTTCTGACATATTTCGATTAACTATCGACCACAAACAAATGTATATATTATTATATTACTAACAACGTTACCATTGTAGTATATTAAAACATAACGTTTTAGTAATGAGTTCAAAAACCTTTAAATACCTAAGGCGTGAAGGTGCATCGTCTCGCTATTGCTGTGTCCCGTTCTGTAAAATGTCCTCAAGGTTTAATTCTGTGATTAGTTTCCATAGTTTCCCTTTGAACAAAGAAACACGCAAAAAGTGGCTTCACAATATCCGGCGTGAGGATTATAAGGTCAGTCCTAACACAAGAGTCTGCAGTCGACACTTCAAGGGTGATGATTTTATTGAGCCCTGGACTCCCACGGCACGCCGACTGCTGAAGAAGGGCGCCGTGCCCACGCTGTTCATGTGGAGCGACTCCACTTCACCACCGAAGCGCACCGGGTTATGGAAGAAGAGACGCGTCTCCTCTCCTTTCAAAGAAGATCCTGTGCCTAAGTTCTTCCAGCATCAGGAGCATGATTATTGCTCATCTCTTGTCCAGGATGATGAAGTGGCTTCGGATCAGACCGAGGATCTCCGAAAGGAGGTCGAGCGCCTGAAGAGACGCGTGGCAGAGTTGGCTGTCCTTCAGAGATTTTGTTTGGGCCGATTTGCTGCATCTGACGATGACATACGGTTTTACACTAGGTAAGCTCTAAAACCTGAACAACATTTTTATAAATCTAAATGTTTATTTTTATAAACATTTTCATACTCTAAATAATGCATGTTTTTTTTAAGCATTTAAGTAGTATTCAAGTAATTGTACTGAATGTGCACTTGTAGTTTATTTCAAAGTGTATAAAAACCATATACTTGCAGATATTATAATATTAATAAAATAAAAGACCACTTAAGTGTACTTGGAGAGGGCACTTGTTTCTTAACTCAGTTAGGAACAAATAAAAAGTGCGATTTGTAATCATGTCGACTTTTTAAACTTGATCAAATCATTGTTTTATTAATCTTTTTGTCATGGTTTAAAGTACTTTTAAAGAACTTCACTTTTTTTCTTTCTTTTTGTCAGTATGGCTTGTTTATTTATTTGATTCTATTTTTCTATACTCATATTTATATATATATATATACACACTCATATTTATATATATATACTCATATTTATATATATATATGAGTATATTTAGTTTAACATAATACTTTTCAGTAAATGTTAACTATATTTCAAAGAAAATTTATTTACATTATTTATGAAATTGCGCACAGTATGTATAAGAGTCCTGCTTAAATGGGTCAAAAAAAGCAATCTTAAGTTCATCTCATTGCATTTAATATAAATTTAAACTACACTATTTAATTGTAAATAATGTGCAAGTAACAAGTGCTTACTAAACGTATTATTTAAGTTAAGTATGCTAAAGTGTCCTTTTTAAACAAGGGTTCACAAGCCTTAAATTTTAGTGCACTCTAAACAAAAAAATAAGCTACATCTTGGTGGTTGTTCATCACATTTGTTGTGGTCCTGCATCTCTTGTAGGTTTGCCACTTACAACCACTTGATGGCGTTCTGGAGACTCATTGAGCCTGTGTCCCACAGCATGGTTCGTTTGACCAGATCCAGGGCAGCTACAACCAGTGAAGTTGGATCATCAGGCAGTACATCTGTAAATAATTAATTTTTATGTAATTTATCATTCATTTATCATTTATGATGTTATAAATTACAGATTTTAAGTGGGGGGAATAGGGAAACATTTTTTTGTTAATAGTATTACTTTTGCTATGTAAACAGACACATTATAAAGAAAATTTTTCACAATTTTGTTAACAGTGTCAATCCCTGCAGCCCATAGATGAGTTTTTCCTCTTCATGGTCCATCTCTCAGTTGGTCTAACAGAGAGAGATCTGGCCCACAGATTCAATATCCATCAGTCCTCCGTGAATCGAATCATTACAAGCTGGGCCAATTTTCTCTACGCCATTCTTGGATCTGTGCGCATCTGGATGTCTGAGGAGACGGTCAAGGCTCACATACCAAAGGAGTTTCAGGACTATCCAGACACACATGTAGTGATTGACTGCATAGAGCTGCGTTGCCAAGCTCCATCCTCTCTCCTGCTTCAAGGTGAAGGGTCCCATTGCACCTACTTAGGGTTAATTGGCATGGCACCGCATGGTGCAGTCACTTTTGTGTCATCTGTGTATCCAGGATCTGTCAGTGACAAGGAGCTTCTGAAGCAGTCTGGGATTGTGTCACTCCTGAAACCTGAAATGGCCATTATGGTCAACAAAGGGTTTTTTATAGATGACTGTGTACCATGCAAAGTTTACCGACCTGCCTATCTGTTAAAGAAGGAACAGATGCCAGCTGATGAAGTGAGGGAAACTCAGTCCATTGCTCGGCTGAGGGTCCACATTGAGCGTCTCATAGGCAGGGTGATGCAACACAAGTTGTTGGAAACGGTCATGCCTCTTTCCGACACTGGGACCATCAACCAGCTATACACTGTTGCTTGCCTCCTTATAAACTACCAGAATGGCCCCTTGTTAAAAGCCTGGGCAAATGATTAAAGACTAGACAAAACATTTGCTGTTGGAGGATGGATCAAAGGACTGTAAATGTAAATATAGATAAACATAAACATCCAAATATAAATAACTTTGGTACTATGTTTCTGTAAGCATGAAAATATAAATAACTTTCGTAGTGTTTCTGTAAACATTCAAATGATTCTATACATTTTTTTCTTGTATTCCACTATAATGTAAATGTAAATATAAATAACTTTCAAAGTTATTTATGTTTACAGTGGTGTACAGGAAAATATTTATGAAGTTATTTATATGTTTACAAAAAGATCAAATAGATAAATGTAAACATGTAAAATACAACTTTTATTCAATGTTTCTATAAACATGTAAATATAAATACCGTTGATAGTGTTTCTGTAAACAAATAAATGACTTTATAATGTGTTTCCTTGGACCACTGTAATGGAAACATGCAAATATAAATAATGTATGCACAGAACCACAGTGTCAAAGTTATTTATATTTACATGTTTGCAGTGGTGTACAGGAAAAACTTTATCAATTTATGTTTACAGAAGCATTGCATCGATAGAAAAATGCAAGTATGTTAAGTATAGAGAACTTTAAAAGTGTTTTTGTATACATAATGTTTACACTTATTTAATAGAAATATGTAAATAACTTGTGTACAGGAACATGGTATCAAAGTTATTTAAATGTATATGTTTACAGTGGTGTATGGGAAAAGCTTTATAAAATTATATACGTTTACAAAAACACTGGATCAAATAGGTAAATGTAAACAAAATGTAAATAACTTTTAATATAAATATACTTTTAGAATGTTTCTATAAACTTGTAAATAATAACTTTGTGTTTCTGTAAACATAAATACCACTGTAAAGGAACATGTAAATATAAATAACTTGTGTACAGAAAGATGCTATTAAATTCATTTATATTTATGTTTACAGTGGTGTACAGGACAAGCTTTATAAAGTTATTTGTGTTTACAAAAACGCTGCATTAATGTGAGTAAATGTAAACATGTAAAATACCAACTTTTATACAATGTTTCTACATGTAAATGTAAACATGTAAAAACATGTACATTTAACTATATAATGTATTTCCTTTATACCACTGTAATGGAACTATATAAATAGCTTTGATAGTGTTTCTATAAACTGTTGATAGTTTTTTTTTTTTTTATTATTATTATTTCTAGGAAACTTGGCAGGTAAAAATATTTTAAAATATTGTCTTTGTAGATGAGACTCATGTCATCCTGTGCATAAACAAAATCAAACCAGTCTGATCCACATAAATGACAAACACATGTAACCTGTTGTACTTTAATTATTAATGATTTCCAATTCAGATTATTTACAAAACATAACATTTTGGAAACAACTTTGGTTGTATTATTTAACTCTGAAAGTTTCCCAGTTAGGCTTATCTGATTGCTCGGCCTCTACTCTGGCCTATTAAGTACCTGGTCAGGTCACATGATACATTTGGTTGGCTACCTTGGAGACAATGAGTCTCAGTTTCTGTTGCAGCCCCCCATCTATTATTTAGCTTTAAGCAGGTGTGGCACAGGGAAAAAGTAATTTCCTGAGTGTGAAAACAGGTAATTATTGATGATGATACCTGATTCCAGAGCTCTCCTTGTCCCATAGTCCTTCTGGACAAGACATTCAAGCTTGTAAACTCTTTAGCAGGCTTAAATTAAAACTGTTATTTTAGATCATATCAGACGTGCCATATCACCAACATTTCTATAAAAGAAACCAGTATCCATTTTCTTGGATACAACATGGTTTCACCAAACCAAAACTATTTTGTCTGCGAACAGAGTGAAATGACAGTAAAGAGCCAGGTGGTCACAAGAGACTCCAGAGGCTTTGAGACATCAAGGAGATCATGGGGCCTTTGATGCCAGGGGCACTTAAATCTAACTGACAGCAATCCAACTAAATAAGTGTCTGAACAGGAGACGGTCTCTACAATGTGCAACAACAAAAAGTACCAAAGGCCAGTTATTTTGTCTGAAAAGCACAAGATGAAGTTCATCCTTCATCATTGCTCTATTTTGGTCAGTATCAGTGACGCTAAAACCTTCATGTATTTTATTTACATATACAAATATAAAAAAAACTTTGATGTTGTGGAAACTACAATCAAGTCCCTAATCAGACGTAATGGATCTCTGCTACCACTGCAACCTGAAATATTCATGGAGCCGCCCTGATGGCACGTGTACATCAAGAAGACGTCTATTTGACGTCTGCAAGGCATTTTTTTAGAGGGTTTGCTCAACTGCAATACGTCTATAGGACGTTTCCTATCAGATGTCAAATAGACATTTAGAAGATGTCTTTAAGATGTTTATGATTTAGAATGTATGTAAAACTGACATCTTAGAGACGTCTATCAGATGTTTGGACACAGCAGATGCTTTCCAGGTGAAGCAATCTTTAACAGACATCTTGCAGACGTATGTGTGCTATCTGGGCGGTTATATGAGCTTTCAGTTTGTTGTTGTTGTGTCTAAAATCCATTGAGTACACCTTTAGAGACTGAACTATAAAAAAAGTGTGCTTTATTAGGTTAATAGTGATATATTAGATATCATACACTTATTTCATCAAGTAAAGTTACTGTTTCACTGACAAAATAACACGTTAATCCATGGTTTGAACAAAAAACGCTGTTTCCTAAGTGACTAGTCCATTCTTCAAAGACGCAGAACAATACTAGGATGCGCAACACGCATTTTCTCCCTCCTCAACTGTAACCGCCCTTTGCTTTCAACTCGTTTCATCCAATCACAGTCCTCCTCGTGTATTACACGCACACTGTTTTCCGGATTGACCAATCACCGAGCTCATCGCTGAGGTTCCGCTCAACGCGCTCCGCCATTTTGTGGCGCTTTAAGAAAACTCAGCCAAGCAACAAAGTTGCGGATCAGAGCTGCTGTTCCTCGGTGTGCAATGGACGGGTAAGTGATGCTACGTTATTATGAATGGAAAAAAAGTTAGGCTGGCCCGGCGATAAGCATTGCACGAATAAACCCGTACGTTTACCAACTGTAAAGCATTATTTTTTTGTTAGATTGGTTAGCGCGGGCGCTCGCATCACCAGTTGCGATTAAGCAAACCCGTAGTCAGGTTTCTGCCTGATACTCGCTGTTTTGATAGTCACATTTAGTTTTTTTCTTTTTTTATCCGTGTTTTGCAGCCTAAATAAGGCAGTTTTTTCTGCAAAACTAGGAAGATTTCCACCGAGAGGACTTGTTGCATCGTATATGCAGTGATTAAAGTTTGAGCATAAAGTAAAGCGCAACATTTTTTGAAACTTATAAATATAGGGAATCAAGCCCCAAAAGTTCGGTTTTTCTTTCTGACCAGAAAACTATTAGCAAAGTGAATATAAGTAAATTGAATAGGTAGGTTGTGTGATGGCATTGACATCTTTTTCCCTGTGCAGCCGCCTAGAGACTGAATTGTATCCTTTGGGATCAAGTTACGCAGAAATAGAGTAAGTCCATCTGAAATTTCACAGCTCATAGTTGGTGTTTTTTTATTTTCCTTTTATACCCGCCCATAGATTACATTACATTTAGATGAGTGAAATATCAGTGTATTATGGTGCTTCGCATACAGAAATCGCCACGGTTGCCATAGTTTCCACCAAAACACAGTAGTTACTTAGCCATTTTAATTTCCTGAATATGATTCACTTTGGTGTGACTTGACTTTTTTTAAGCAATAGAGGCACAAATTCTATTTTTAGGTTGTTCATTTAATGTTTATTGCTACAGCATTGCAAAAATATTTGGTTTAAACTGTAGGCTATTTAGACTTCTGGTTGGTAATTTTGGGGTACAAAATGACAAACGAAATATAAATAGAAATACATAAACAAAACAACTTCTAGGGAATTAAGTTCAACTTCCTGAGTTTGACACACAACATTTTCTCAAACACATCTCCTTTCACAAATAAATTTTTTTTTTGTAAGTTTTAGACCCTGTTTGCTGAATAGCAACCTGTGGTGGCTAAAACTGCATAGCGCTAACAGATACTAACTACTGTAATGTGGTGGAAACTGTGGTTAACATGGTAAATGGTTTTAAATGTTGGCCAGTGAGTCTGTTTGATAGACATGGCTGAACTAGACAGACGCACTGGACATGCACCATCTAAGATGATACACAGAAACTAAAACCACACCCCAGCTATTGTGACAAAATGACCCCAGTCCATAGGGCCCCCTTGTTTGAATTCTCTCATTTATTTGCATGAAGGTTTTTCCCTCTCGGGGTATATGTATCAGGACTTTGTTTTGGCACAGTCAGTTTCTTTTTCTATCCATTGTTTCAAACATAAAAGCTTTTATGCTGCGCCGTTTTGATATGAGGGCTTTTCGAAGCATTTACTGAGAGTTCATGTGAAACAGGATGTGGGGGTTAATCTTCAACCATACACTGACCCAAAATACCACTCATATTTCTTGCTCTAAGGGAGATCTGTGTGAAGGATCTAGATTACGCAGGCAAGTCTCAAACTGCTTATTCCTTTAATGGGAAAAGCATCTAACCAACATGAGCCAAATAAAATATTACACTCATTAGCCATACTTAAATATTAATTACAGTTAATATTTAGGTAGAGGATATTAATTTCACATTTTGACTTACAGAAATAGGCTGGATGCTTAAATTACATAATACATATCTTTGCATGAAACATTCTTCTTTACCTTTGGTTTCATTGGGACTTTTAGAAAAATGCATGAGGTCAAAATGGTTCTGTTCTGTTTTTCTTTTCATGCATTTATTTATTTATTGTTTCTGGTTTCATGCTCTAATTTTTTTTCTTCCATTTCTGTGTACTTTTCCAGCGTTGTTCATGATATTGCAGTTGGTACAAAGGTAAGAATCTTATTTTTAGTTCTTCAGTCACTACTACACGTGCTATAATTCTTGGGTTGGTTGAATAAGAGCAGATTGTTTTGCTTAATCTTCCTTTAACTGTTTGTGTGCCGGGACTCTCTGAGTTGAGAATTTGCATGGCCTTTGTGACTTCCACACCTTGTGCTATCACTCCTTCCAGACATGATTCATCCTGGCAACAACGGGGTCAATCATTTCGAAGGGAATCAAAGATTTGTTAGAACAAGCACTGTGGCATTGTGCCATGCCACATTGCGCTTTCTCTACTTTTTATGAACTCCAAGTTATCATTTAACTTTAGGAGCAAATTGTGGTTCATAATATGCCATAATATTTGGCTGTTATGAAACACATAGTTAAGAAATCCCTAACTTGCTGCCTGGATCAGCCTTCACAAGGCCACAACATGAACACTCCCGCTCGTTCCCTCATTAAAAACTATTTCCTGTGGTATGTGGCTAGTAAGGAGGGACCCACAGGATGTGGAACAAAAGGCTGATTCATGAGGTTTATTTAGGTTAGTTACATGCTTCAGGTCATGCAGTAACATTTGTAGCATGAAACCTACAGGCACTGCATTTATCTGATGATTACCACGATACAGGGACGAGGACTGATTTAAGAGCTGATTGCTAATTGAAAAAGTTGGTTCTGAGAGATTTCCTAGTTTTGGATTTGAAATAGTTGTAAGGGACATTTTTCTGCATTATGTCTCAGGTTCAGATCAGTTTGAGGATAAAGACAATGTGAAACCCCGTTCAGAACCTAATTCATTTATGTATCATGACATTTCTGAGTGAAATAGCATATTTAATGAGAAAAGGTGTAGGCTAGGGCTTGGTTTTAGATTGGGAATTGATTCGATTGGGAAGCAGACAAGAATTGAGCTTGATTGAATGCAAGTTTGCTAAAACAAAACCTCCTAAATAGCTGTTTGCTATTGGTTATCACTATTGTGGCCTAAGGCCCCGTCCACACGGAGAAGCCTTTAGCTGTATACGCATAAATTTTGTATCATATAGGCGTTTCGTCCACACGGATCCGGCGTTTTGGGAGAGTGAAACCGATATTTTTTTTTAAACCGGGTCCCAGAGTGGATAAATCTGAAAACGCCGCCCTTGTGTTTTCGTGTGGGCAGCGAATCCGTATATTTTCTGAAACGATGACGTCATCAGCCCACATCTCGCCCCTAGTCAGACACCGCTACGTCACATAACAGCAACAAACACTGAACGATTGTCTTTTTATTAACTAACATTAACACAGATTAATAAATGTTTTATTTCATGTTCGTTTGTATACCGCGTGCAAGGTTTATGCGCATAGTCCAAGTCGTCTTCTCTGTTTTTAGTGTATCTCTGTGGCAGAATTACAGCGCCACATACTGGTCTGGCATGTATACTACATCGTTTTGTGTCGGTTTTGTGTGGACGCAGATATTTCTTGAGACGAAGGAATAAAAAAAAGATTGGATAGTGAAAGCTCTGGCTTCGTGTGGACGTAGCCTAAGTGATGTCATCAGACGAGGAAAGTCGTTTTAGAGCATGCTGCATTTACATTTAAGATTAAAATAGTGGAATGACGTGCAGTAATTATTCACAATAAAAAAAAAAACAATGAATATAGAAGAGGTGAAAAAAGGGGTCAATGTTGATTTCATGCTAACTGGTAACAGGAAACTTATCATTTTCTCGTCTATTGGGCTAATTTAAACTGCAGTTGTGGTGCCAATAGCCTCGTGGGCAGCGCTCTTCAGGTGTCCCGAGTTCGAGTCCCGGCTTGCGGACCTTTGCCGGACCTGTAGCCCTTGCTCTTCCACTTCGCTTCTATTCAAGCTACTTTTTGCCATAATAAAGGCAAAAATGTCAAAAAAACAAAAAAAAAAAAAAAAACTGCATGTCTGAGTGAAACCAAATAGCAATAAATAATAAAGGTCGAAACTTGATGTTTATCTTGAACATTGGGCCCTATTATTGGTTAATTTGATTTTTTATGGCCACACTACCTTTGTTATCAGCACAAAAGAGGTTTTGTTTATTTAAAATGCACTGAAAATTCATGCACCATAAGATCAAAGGCATTAATTAAGAAAAGTAGATGTTCAGTTATAATTTAATGTTTTAAAACTGCTCATCAGATGTTATGGCATATTAGATGATCTTCAGGTAAGTCTATTTGTCTTTGTGAACACGGGTGACAAGCATTTTATTGTTTCCGTGCACTTTCTACCTCAGCCTAATGATTCAACCCATTTCAGAGACATTCCTCAGAGATTGGTTTTGGCTATTGATATGACGAGCTGAATGCAGTCTATTCATCAAATGCAAATATGTTTGCCTCATCACTCAGCACACACATGTAGCTCTTGTGTTTGTTCAGCAGTGCTGATCAGAGGGAAGATGGCTGGGGGAGGTGCTAATGGGTCACATGGGGGTTCGCTTGATGCTATCAGTCTCTCTTTCTTGTTCTCGGTATCTCCTAAAGAATGCAAGTCGAAAGCTTGTGGGTCGCAGGTGCTGATTACAGCAAGCCAACGATTCGCTATAGTCCCACCTAGTGTTGTCACGGTACCAAAATGTCAGTAGGAAACTTACCTGCTTGAACTTGATCGGGGTGTTTTGTTAGTTTGATGCGTTTCCTCCTCTTGAGGTCGCCACTGCTTTTATGAAGAGGTTTCCAGGTTTTCACAACAAAACCCGCCCAATCGCGTTTCGAGGGATCCCCGTTAAAAATCGCATTCGCATTCCAGGGACTAAATATCACGTTAATGGGGTCGTTTTTCAACCCGCGGACATGAAAAACAACCCGCGGCAACAGTGTTAAAGCAGCCCAATTCCGCGGGAAAACCAGTGCGGTTAAGTGCGGTATAAATTAACCCAATAGACAAGAATCTTAAGCTTCCGGTGTTTCCTTTTATTTAAAAATTTACATTTTTGCCTCTTCTCTGTACGTGTTTTTTTTTTTTAATTATTGGTGCATGTTATTCTACTATTTTAATATCTTTCATCAAAATGTAAATGCAGCATGCCCTAAAATTACTTTCCTTGTCTGATGACATCACTTAGGCCACAATAATGATAACCAATAGCCAAACAGCTATTTAGGAGGTTTTGTTTTAGCAAACTTGCATTCAGTCAAGCTCAATTCTTGTCTGTTTCACAATCCAATCAATTCTCAAGGAGAAAATCAAGCCCTGTCATACACGGTTTCTCATTAAATAACCTATTTTACTCAGAAATGTTATGTTACAAAAGAAAAAGGCAGATGGGGCAGTTGTGGCCTAATGGTTAGAGAGTCGGACTTGTAACCTGAAGGTTGCGGGTTCGAGTCTCAATACCAGCACGAATTGTAGGTGGGGGGAGTGAATGTACAGCGCTCTCTTCCACCTTCAATACCACGACTGAAGTGCCCTTGCACCGAATGCCCAACTGCTCCCCGGGCGCTGCAGCAAAAATGGCTACCGGGGTGTGTGTTCACTACTCACTGCTGTGTGTGTGCATTTGGATGGGTTAAATGCAGAGTACAAATTCCGAGTATGGGACACCATACTTGGCCACATGTTTTTTTTTTTTTCTTTCTAAATGGGTTCTGACCAGATATTTATGCGTCAATCGGTGCAGTGACGTGTGTATAGAGTCTATGCTGGGACGATTACTTTTTGGTGGTTGCTATTATTATGTAAAACTGAGGTCTTGAGCTGTGCTCATAACCTGTATGGTTAGTGTGGTAAATGGCTCAAGTTTGGACAGTAGTTGTGGGTGAAAGGCACACCTGGGCGTATGGAGATAATGGGTCTTGTGTATTCAGGTCAGGGTTGGGTTTCAGTTACCTGCAGCGCAGACACAAGGTCTCCATGGTGAGCACATTACAATCGGAGCTGCTGTGGTAACGGCCCCATTTTTTGGTTTGTTGTGAATTGTTGCAGTCTTTGCCCCTCCCCCCGTCTTTGACACCTTTTAATCTGTTTAACCAAGTACCCCATCATGCCACACCCAACAAAAAGTTAACACGTTGAATGTTTGTGTTTGTCATGCTCAATTAACTGATAAATGCACAGAGATAGTGCTGTCTGACACCTTCTAGAAGCTTTGAAAGAATGTTCCGGGTTCAGTGCAAGTTAAACTCTGTTATTGCAAAATGCTGTTGTTTACCCCAGAAATTGATTTTGAATCCTCCATTTGTAAAACATGGAAAATTGTGTTTTTATTGTAATGCACGTACCATGAAAGTCTATGGGTTAAGTTTGTGCACCGGGAAGCTGATAATGATTTAATGCTATGGCTGATATTAAATAAATGAATAATAAAGCACTAAAATCTACAGAGCACCGCAAATGAAATTGTGGCCTCAAATTAAGAATTAATTAACTTCAATTCATCAATTTATTCATCAATTTACTCATTTTAGTCAAATTGTTAAGTTTATTTATTCCCTAGTTTTAATGTAGTGGAATTGTGACCACATTGTAGTTATTTGTTCCCTTGTTTTAATGTAGGAAACCAAGGAAAACCCATAATTCATGGCCACGATATCTTTTTTTTTTTTTTTTTTTCTGTGTGGGGCTCTGTAAATTTTTTAAAAAAATGCTTCAAGTTAATTTAGGCATGACAACATTATAATGTACAGTACGAAATAAGGATATTTGTATTGAGATTTTCTCAAGATTACATTTTGTTAGTGTGTTTAAGATTTAAGTGAGTGTTAGAAGGTAATCTAACTATTAAAATAGAGCAAATTACACGCATAACAATATACATGCAACATACCTATCTGCAAAGTACCGGTTACATGGGGCAAAGTAATCTCTAAATAATTAACAAAAGCAAACACAAAAGCAGAAATTCATTTGGCTAGAATAGTAGTCCTACTGCTACAAGGTTAATTTAGACAGCTTACCGATCATGTACATAATCTTTTAAGTACAGAAAAATTAACATAAGCACTTTAACCATTGTTATTGCATTATTGCTATAAATCTTGCAAACTTGTTGTCAATTCTTTGGCAGTTTAGTGTAACGGGCAACTTTAAGTTCAGAGCTTTAAGTTCTACGTTTAAGTTTAGCTTGTTTTGCAGTAGCCTAACCCTTTAAACGATTGTTTCTTAGCTTAGTGTGTTGTACCAGATGCCTGTTGTGTAGCCACCCCCCTCTAATTTACATGTGGTTCTCATTGAGTCGCTTAACTGTGGAATTTTAATATGTGGAGGGCAGGCCTGTGTGGTTGCATGGAGTTTCTGCTGAATTCAGTTAATTCATTCTTGCTTTAGTCATAAGCTGTGACCGGACAATCTTAATTCAGGCATCTTCTGTTACTCGAATGTCTGCACTCAGAAGGTGGATAATGAGAACAAATATTTGCTTTTGATTGTCCAGATGAAATGAGACATAGATTAGTGTTATTTGCAGAACTGTGATGTATTAACTTTTGTTAATCTTGACTTTAAAGGGGTAGTTCACCCAAAAATGAAAATTCTGTTATTTACTCACCCTTTGCCAAACCTGGATGAATTTCTTTCTTCTGCTGAACACAGAAGATATTTTGAAGAATGTGGGTAACTAAACTGTTTCTGGTTCCCATTGACTTCCATATGATTTTGTTCCATACTATGGAAGCCAGTGGAGATCAGCAACTGTTCATTCTTTGAAATATGTTTTTATGTTAAACAGAAGAAAGACACTCCCACAGGTTTGGAACAACCTGAGGGTGAGTAAACAACCCTCTACATTGCGAGTAAATCACTCGCATGCAGAGTTTCACTCTCCGTCAAGCGATCTGTGATATTTTTCAGTTCATCTCGATGGATGCGCAGTGCACCTGTATTTGACGTACCATAAACTCTAATGTAACAGTGCTCGCCGTAGCTTTCTCACACACACGCAGAGAGAGAGAGAGAGAGAATTGACGCGCTACATGTAAACGATATTCTTTGTTGTATTTTCCTGTCAAAATAA